TCCTTGTGTCCACTTTTGAACCTATCCTACCGTTATTTCTTTACCCCAGCAGCTCATCCTCGACAACAGTCTTCTTGAAGACGGCTTCCCGCTATCACGCAGTGGCTCACCCTGTCCTCGATCATGTTTAACTACCGTTATCAAGTCGCCAAATTTAGACCTATACATCTATCATGACCCATGTAATAGATTTTATTTTATAAAATCTATCTAATCAATTTGGCTCCTCAATTTTTACTGGAGACTCCTATGGAAAGCTTAACTGGATTTTATTTTCAAAACATACATTTTAGGTTTGGTATCTGAAATATGATTGATTTTGTGTGTGGATTTTAAATTATGTATGGCTGTAAAGAACTTGATGATAGTGTAAATATTTTATACTATCGTGTAATGCTTTTAAAAATACTTTATTTGCAAGTACACCATCTCCTAATTGCCTAAAATATAAATCAAAAAACCAATTCTGATCATATAGACCTAATGAAGGAGAAAGTTTAGGGGGAAAAGGGGGTTGTGGTGGGAGGGGGGTGAAGAGTCTCCAATTATAAGGTCGAACAAAAAGGATTTAAAAATACTGGACCTAATGACAAAGGCGGCTGGAAAGTATTTTGTAGAGACTGAAGTAGTTGCTGCGACTCCGCTATGCAAGTTAGCAAGTGGTGACCAAACGCCAATAAACAAGAGTTATGATAGATTGACAATTAATACATTGCATGAAAAGGATTTATTAAAAAGTGAAAATAAAAAATAAAAACGATTTTTATTACGAGCTTTCAAAAGGCTGATGAATTTATTGACATGCGAATATAGTTTTAATATAGGTGGACTAAGAATTCAAATTTTATGAATTTAAGTTTAAGATTCTACTATAGTATTTTTTATTTATTAAATTCGAAATTAATAATTTATACATATCTAGTAAACTCTTAACACATACCGAATTCAGCAAAACTTAAGGTCGAATAAAGTCATATCTCACACATTACATCCGTTCCTAAGTCTTAATTGAACAAGGAATCACAGAACTTCTAAGTGTAAAGAAATATGATAACTATACACAATTGAATGGAATGTGTATACTTTCACTGTTTCAATTTATATGATATAGTTTTCTCGATACAAAATTTAAGAGATAAGAAAGATTTTTTTTAAACTTGTTGTCTTAAATATATCATAATTTGTATAGCTAGAAAAAATTCTCTTTAAGAGTGTGTTTGATATGAAGGAAAACATTTTTTTCATTTTTGGTATAGCTATTTACTTTTTTTTTTCATTTCAACAAATGAATATTTTTTTCTTCATGATATAAAAAGAAATTTTTTTGTCAGGAAAATGAATATTTTCTTTTCATGATGTAGAAAAAGTATTTTTTTTATTTCAATAAAATGAGTAAATTACTTTCATGTTGTAAAAAGAGTAATTTCTTTTTCAACCAAAAAAAGAGTATTTTCTTTTTAGTTATGGAACACAAATTGTAACGTTATTTTTGCGTAAAAAAGTAAAGTAGCACATTAGTTCCTTTGGGTTTGTGTAATTTTTTAGAAGAATAATTAAATTCTTGAAGAAAATAGAGTCCAGAGAATGTTGGGTATTTGGAGGGGGAGCAGCAAGAAAACATAGGGACTTGGGGGAAGTGGAGTGGGCGAGGAGAGTAGCATAAAAATATTTTCCTAAAAATAATTCTACTCTTGTGATGACCCAAATGGTCATCTTATATTTTAGAACTCGATTTCGTATTCCGAGGTCTTTAAAACCTCATTTTATTCCTTCTCGATTTGTGTGCGCAGTCTGGGCGTATTTTCGGAAAGCTTTTATGTCGAAGGTTGGTAAAAATAAAATTTTTTGCTATTAAAAATTGATTTAGTTGACTTCGGTCAACGTTTTGAGTAAACGCGTCCCAACTCATATTTTGATAGTCCCGGTGAATCCGTATTAAAATATAAGACTTGGGCGTATGCTCGAAATCGAATTCCGAGGTCCCTAGCTCAAGAAATGAATTTTTGATGAAAATTGAAAGTCTGAAAATTTAATGGTTTTAAGAATTCCGTTAATGTTTGATTTTCTTGGTATCAGGACCGTATTTGGTTTCGGAGCCCGGTACAGGTCCAAAATAAAATTTATGCCTTATCTATGGAATTTGGTGAGAAACAGAATTAATTTGACGTAATTCGGACGTCCGGTTGTGGAAATAGGAATTTCAATGTGTTCTTAAGAATTTCATGTGATTTGGTGCTAAATTCGTAGTTCTAGGTGTTATTTTGGCGATTCGATCGCACGAGCAAGTTCGTATGATGTTTTAAGACTTGTGTGCATGTTTGGTTTGGAGCCTCGAGGGATCAGATGAGTTTCGGGTAGGCTACAGAGTGATTTAAGCTTATGAAATTTTGCTGGTATGCTTCAGGCATGTAAACTTCGCAATTGCGAGGTCTAGCTCGCAAATGCGAGCCTCGCTTTTGCGAAGAAAGTTCGCATTTGCGAGCAATGGGCAGGGAGGGGCAGCTTCGCAATTGCAAAGCTTTGGTGGCAATTACGACCCTGGCAGTTCACATTTGCGAACCAGGGGTTGCATTTGCGATATTAGCACGGCCAGGTGAATCTTCACATTTGCGAACCCGATATCGCAAATGCGATACCTATAACTGAGCAAATAGTTGAAAACGGAATTTTTCATTCATTCTTTAATGTTTCATAACCTAAAACACAAGTGGCGATTTTCTAAAGACTTTTTCTTCCCTAAATAATAAGTAAGTGATTCTTAACTAGTTTCTTTCAATCTTTTACCTCTTTTTACAAGATTTCAACCTAGAATCTAAGATTTTCATGATGAAATTGGGGATTTTTGGGTAGAAGCTAGGGATTTCGAAATCTGGGGATTTAGATCTCAAATTAAGGTCGGATTCAAAAATCAATTATATATCCGGGCTCGGGGGTGAATGAATAATCGAATTTTGGTCCAAATGTCGGGTTTGGACCAAGGGGGTCGGGTGTTGACTTTTTTAAAAATGACCTAAATTGAATTCCTTGCAATCGTTGGTAGTTCCTAAGGCTTAGATTAAATTGTTTGATTTGTAATTTGCTAGATTCTATTGGTCCGGAAGCTTGTGTGAAGGAAAAAACGGTGATTGCGATTTGAGTTGGCCGTTGAAGCGAGGTAAGTGTTGTGTCTAACTTTGACTCGAGGGACTAGGAACCCTTGACTTAGTTGCTATATGAAAATCTAGGTGAGGTGACGAGTACCTATGCGCCGTCAATTTATCTGTTTTGCTTGTTTTCTTCCCGTTCATAATATATTGCTTCCTGCCTTAACTGCTACATGCTTCACTGGTATTTCCATGCCTAATTGCTACTTGTCAGACATTGATTTTCATTGTTGAAGGTATTAGCTATTCCGTAGTTCCATTGTCTCATATTATTGGCTCAAGTTGGTTTATCGGTTTTTTATGGTATATTTTGGATTGGTTTTGCTGAGTAGTATTATCTGAGTGAAGTTTCATAATTGTACAACTTTTCGTTTGCTTTGGTTTGAGGTTTAAGTATTATGGAGAGTTTTGAGCTAAATTGTGAAATTCCTATTCTTATTGTATGATTGGTACTGATATAGTGGGATCGGGTTTGCACTCCGTAATAAGAGGAACAAGGGTGATATATTGAGGAGGAATAAGGGTGAAATGCTATTATATGGTGGGATCGGGTTGCACGCCGCAACACGAGGAATAATGGTGGTATATTGAGGAGGAATAAGGGTGAATTACTATTGTACGGTGGGATTGGGTTGCACACCGCAACTGGAGGAATAAGGGTGGATTGATATGGAGTAATAAGGGTGAATATTTATATTGATATTGATTATATGGTGGGATGGGGATGCACACCACATAAGTTTATGTGTTTATGTATCTTTCTTCTACTGTGAAGTTATTATGTAGTTTTGCATTTCACTTAAGGATTGGTTATAACTGGGTTCTGATGAGATAATTGAGTTCTGTATTCATTCCTTGCAAGTTACAGTTTTATTTTGTTCCGTTCTTCTTTCTGCTTTTATTATACACTGTATGCAGATTATATTGTAATTGCCCCGCCGTAGCCTCGTCACTACCTCGTCGAGGTTAGGCTCAGCACTTACCAGTACATAGGGTCGATTATACTGATACTGCACTCTGCCCTTTCTGTACAGATTTTGGAGCAGGTAGTGGCTGATCAGAGGTCGGTTGCAGATATTTCCAACTAGGACACCCAAGGTAGTCCTGCTGGCGTCCGCAGGCCCTGGCGTCCCCTTCTACATCTCTACATTATTGTTTTCTTTATTTTCAAAATAGTTGTAATTTCTTTCAGACTGATGTTTGTAGAAAAATCATAGTACGTTCGTGGATTGTGACACCTGATTCTGGGTAGTAATAGTAATAGCTTTGGCAATACTTTATAAACAAAGAAGATGTTTACTTACTTCCCCAATTATGATCACTTGTTTTAACTTGTTTACTTTCATTCACTGAATCGTAAAGGAAATTGGTTAGTAATACTCTAACGTTGGCTTGCCTAACGAGTGTGATGTTAGGCGCCATCACGTTCCCAATGGTGGGAATTCCGGATCGTGACAACTCTCTAACCAAACAGTAGAAAATATTTTCCAGAAAAAGTTTCCCACTCACAAACCAAACAAGAGAAAATAAGTGATAAAACCACTCATCTTTCATAAAAATATTACCCAGGAAAATATTTTTCTTCGTACCAAACATACCCTAAAAGTAAAATAAAAAGTTAAAGTTGAATTATTTTTAAAATATAAAAAGATATATTTTTCTTAAACAGATCATTAAGTCAAATAATCTCATAAATGCCCAGGAGAACAGAGAATATTTAGCATTATATAGTGGCATGACTAATACAGAGTGGGCTGGTGCAGCACCGCAAGTTGTAGTTTTGTTCAAGGAAATTCCATGATTAAAGAATTACAAGAGGCCCCTCAAGTAGGTATAAATAACAATTGAGTATCTGACTTTTCCATAGAGTGGAAGAGGAGGACCCTGCTGCATTTGTTGGACTAGTATTGGCCCCTCTCTCCTTCGACCATTCTTTTTCCGCCATTAAAAGATTTGCCCATATATCTCTAGAATCACCTTTTCTAGGGTTCCCCTTTTCCTACACAACTCGCATATTCTTTAGTTTTCGCTCTTCTTTTTAATCCCTCTCTTCATCAACTCAGACTCCAGTCGCTGCATCATTGTTAACCTCGTAAGGTTCTTTTTTCTTTGTCGTTGTCTTCTGAAAGTTTAAGCTCATGAATTAACTTGAGATTGAGGCATAATAGTTGTTGTTAAGATCGTGAATAAAAGTCGTTTTTTTTCTGCGTTAAATTTATGTGGCAAATTCTGGGTTTTGACTCTTGCGGTGAATGGGAGAGTGGGTTGTCTCTTTTAAGCTATTTCGTATGGGAAGTTAAATTTTTTGTTAGACTTTCAACTTTAATGAGTAGTATTCAAGATTCAATTTTTCTGCTTTGAAATCATGTGACACATTAAATATAGATTTTGTTTATTGTTTTAGAAGGTGGGATAGTTGGGCGGGTCTGATAAGTTATTTCGTATAGAAAGTTAAAATCTTTGTTGGAATTTCAGCTTTACAATACTTCAATTTTCCTGGCAAAGCATAGTTATATTACTTATTGTACTCAAATTTTGAACTCCTTGCTGTGTTCTCTTGCTTTTCCTTTCTAGGATTTTGATTCATTTGCAAATTTGAGTTTTGCATCATTGGGTTGAGCGTAGGAGTGGGTTAGTTGTGTGTGTGTTAAAGGTATTTTGTGTGCAACCAAGTTAAACTTGTAGTTAGAATTTCAACTTTTGCTTTCAGGGGTTTGTCCCTCCTCCTGACATCACGACTAGTTGTTGAGACTTCTGAGTTTGGAGGTGCAATATGATCTGGATAGGGGTCTCTTAGTTCCGAACCATGAAGCTCTAGGTGGACTATTTTATTTAAAATAAAAAAGTGAGTAGAAAGAGTAAGGGTTGCTAAACCTGTGCCTCAGTAGTCCTAATTCCTTGGGTTTATCCTGCAGATTGTGGCTTATTTAATTCTTTTGGGATTTCTGTGATGGATGACGGTGAGCTGGAATTTTCTAATCAAGAAATGTTGTCAAGTTCAAATTTTGGTGAATTTCCAGACAGTGGTTCAATGGACAGTTTCTTCAATGAAATTCTCAAGGATACACATGCTTGCACTCATACGCACACCTGCAATCCACCTGGCCCTGATAACACCCACACACATACATGTTATCATGTTCATACCAAAATTGTCCCTCCCCTGAGTGAGGATAAGACAGCCAGTGATGATACTGCTGAATCCGCAGAGGGAAAAAGAAAGAAACGGCCTTTGGGTAATAGAGAAGCGGTTCGTAAGTACCGTGAGAAGAAGAAGGCTCGAGCTGCCTCATTAGAAGATGAAGTTGTCAGATTAAGGGCTATAAATCAGCAACTCATGAAAAGGCTGCAGGGTCAGGCTGTGTTGGAATCTGAGATTGCAAGGCTCAAGTGCTTGCTTGTGGATATCCGTGGAAGGATTGAAGGTGAAATTGGATCTTTTCCATACCAGAAGCCTATGAAGAGTGGGGATGTTTATCAGAACCTTGTTAATCCTAATCTCCCTGGAGCATATGTGATGAACCCTTGCAACTTGCAATGTGATGATCGGGTTTACTGCCTCCACCCTGGATCAGAAGGTAAAAGCTTGGATGACACAGCATTAGATGGACAAGGCTTCGATAACTGTGAATTTGAGACTCTCCAATGTTTGGGTAATCAGACCTCTGAACTGAAGGAGGGTTCTGGCTGTGCATTGGGTAATGGGGCTCCTACTGGAAACCCTTCTGGTGGGAGTAAAAGAAAAGGTGAACTTGACTTCAATTTTAATTTTAATTTCACTTTTTGGTATGGACTTAACTACTCTGAAACCTGAAATAAATGAAGATTGAAGCGTCATCCTTTTGGTTTACATGAATCCTGATTATATACTTTTTCACATGCATGTCTTTATCATGTTCAGTTACATCATTTATATAACCAGGGTGGCTTCCTTAGACCTTGCGTTTAGAGGCGTGCACTGAAGTTTTAAAATGCATATCATGGTTTATTGTTTTATAGGAAATTCCACTAATGACAATATTTAGCAGGACACAAATTAAATATAATGAGTAGTCTTTGGCATGCTTGATTATGCTTAAGAAAGATTCTTGAAATGTTAAGACAAGTGTTTACTTGGAACAAACTTCCGTAACCTCTCAAATCTGAAAAAGTACATGGTTCGAGTTGGATCGGGTTCAGCACTTGAAAGCTATAGAAGAAGAGTCTATTCAATCAAGTCAAAGGGTGGAGTCCCCTTATAATAAATAGAAGAGAATCCTATATCTGCCGACCCTGCTTAACTACCTAAAATTTAACAGTATAGCATGTAAATACCTAAAAAAATATAGCAGTACTTGTTAAAAAAATGAGTGTATATGTGTGCATAATGCTTATGGTCCTGTATCCAAAGACACGAAGTTCTAATTAATTTTTCATTTCTGATGTTTGCTGAATATATTACACTGATCTTTCATAGTTATTTGACAAATATTATTAAATAATTACAGATCTTGAATAAGTACTAATAAATCATAAAGTGGTCGTATTATATCATTGTTGGGCAGTGATTTAAGTTTTTGTATAAGGATGCAGTGCAATCCTCGGGGGCTTTAAAGTTTTCCAGCAGTTAAATAGTTGGCTGAACACACATAAACTGCCCCTCAAACTTGCCCAATTTGTTCATTTAGACACCTGAACTAAGGCTGTACCTATTGAACACACCTATCCCGTGTTCAAATTGTGTCAATCGAACACATATCTCACAACTCTAAACTAATTTCAGTGCATGAATTCCACTTGCTGTGACGTGGAAAATGAAGCCAATCATAAAAATACACGTCATCAAAGGAAAAAAAGGCAAGATTAAGAAAAGAGAAGTTGATTGGAAAAGAATCCTGGCAGACCTTCATATTTCCGGCGACAAATCCTATTTGAGCAAGCTCCATCCTGATTGGTACTAAAGATTCTTGTCTTTCTATTAGTCTTGGTGCTAAATAATCTTTGCCTCCAGAAATACCATTTTTTTATCGTTATCCCCCGGTCCAGGGTCCCTCTTCCTTATAAAAAAAATAAAAATAAAAACCATTTCTTTATCTTTGTCTCTTCCTCTCCATTCTCTTCAGCAACAGTATTCATCAATATCCTCATCACATTACTTCGCTCGTCCCATTAGTGATTTGTTTGTTTGAAAAGCCAGCAGCCACCGGTGCCCTTCATTTACGGCAACCCAAATGTTGTCGTTTTGCGTGATGACACTGTTTCCAAGGTCGAAAAAGGACCTTTTCATCGGAACGTTCATGCTGTCAACTGAACTCAGGCAGTTACCGTGTTCTTTCCTATCTTGATCCATCTGAACCAATCCATTTTAAACTGAGGAAAAAAAATGCTCCGGTAATTATCAAATTGCGTTGAATTTCTTTGCTAAATCATTGTATGGAGTGAACCCATTAGAGACTAAGCTAGAAATTGACGGGCCGACATTGATCGGAAAACTAATGTTGGCACGGTGGTAGTAGTAGGCTAGTAGCTGAGAGAGATGAACGAAAAAGAGAAAAATTTAAAAAATTCCTCACCTGTCCTTGGGACCCACGTAATTAGCATTATATAGGCATATCACACTCTTAAACGATGTGTGGAACACACTCGGTGTCATGTCAACATCGTGTGTCTGATAAGTACATTTTCAACTGACAACTGTTGTTCAATAGGTAAAAGCATTAGCGCAGGTGTCTAAATGAAGAAATCGGGCAAGTTTGATGGGCCATCCATATATTCAGCCTAAATAGTTCAATTGTGAAGAGTTACATTTTCGTCTGGTTCCCTCAAGTCCCAGAAAGATTCTACCTTTTCACGACTTGAAAGTAACTTAACTTTAACTCTATTTCGATAAAATAATATGAATGGTTTAGATTGCAAAAGTTCTAATCTTTTATATCTTTATGTAGCATAAACTTATGAAGTTCCATATTCAAAGAGAAAATTTCTCATATTTGATCTTACTCTTAAATTTGTCAAATTGAGACATCGACAGCCTTCGACAGTGAGTTCTTTTGCGTCAGTTGGCTTATATTATTGCCGTCAACACTCTTTTCTTCTAGAAAAGGAAGAAAAATGCGCTTGGGGGGTGGATGTTCTTTTCATATTTGATCCTTGCATGTTGTTGCTTACCGTTCTGGGGGCTTATATGCCAACACCTTGGTTATTGGCATTTTAATATCAAAGGAAAACTGCATGGCAAAGCACCAGAATTTAACATTTGGGTTTACATCCCCAATGAGCTGAATGATAAAAGCGATCGACTTAGCAAGTCAACTATTTTCAGATGTGATTTTCCGATTTTCCTATCTCACTTTTTGTTGTACTGATCTTTGCTCTGTTCTCTTTTTAATATTAGCAGGGACTCGAGCTGCAATAGCAAGTTGATGAACTGCTTAGACAGAGGCATCTTCGTTTTTTGCGAATAAGTACATTGTGTTATGTTACTTCTCCCCTTTTTGGGGTTTCTTTCCAGCATCTTATCTTCATCATGTTCAACTTTATAAAGATTTTCTTTTTCTGGCTCCTCAGCGGGCAGTCTAGTAGGTGTGTAAATTTCAGTCATCTATCTTGAGTGTGGGGTAAAGCAGGACAATTGAATGCATGTAGCTAGAGGAACCCGTAAGGAGGAGACAATATATTGGTCTTCTGTAAAGATCTTTACGCTTTGTTTCTCAGTCTAGTATTGTTCTATTATTTTGGCGTGTATTCTGGCTAACCTTTGTTTGGTGAATCGACAAACCCTCATGGATGGATCTGTGAATTTCAACCACTGAATTAATGGTGGTTTGGTCTGCTGATTGTGGTTCTGCCGTCCATGGTTGGTTACCATGCTTCCATTGCTTTTTCTCAAAGTGCATTTGCATGGTTCCAAGGTTTTTCATATCCTCTCTTTAGTTTGTCACAAATTGGTGTGCTCAGTAGTTGAGCTGTAGAAAGTAGATAATTGTCATGTGAGATGCATTCTGGATCCGTTATCCTCTTTTTATTTTCTGAGAAAATGATTGAGTTCAATGTATTGTGCTGTAGAAAGTGGAAAATTCTCCTTACCAATAAGTGCATAATAATTGAGGGAACCAATTCTGGTCCTGAATGGAGAAATTTGGACTAGCCTTGTGTGTATTCTTATGTCATTATCTTTCATGTTTTGTTTTTCATAAATGGAGACTGGAGGTATGTCAAAAAATTAAAGATGAGTTTTGAATCTTTCGTCTCAGCTGTGGAAGGCAGGGAGCTTTTATAACAGTAGGAGAGTTGGCTATCATTTTTCGCTTTACAACCTAAACGTTAGCCCGTTTGGACATAATTTTTTTTTCTTTTTTCCAAAATAATCACTTTTTTTTCAACACAGTGTTTGTTCATAAAATTTTTAATTTTTACATTTTGAAAATTTTCAAAAATTTGAAAAATTTTAAAAAACTATTTTTTAAAATTTTCACTCAAATCACTCAGACAACTTCAAAAACAACCCAAACTGAAATTTATGTCCGAATACAACGCTAATTTCAAATACCATTTTTACCATTTTTTAAAATTTTACAATTCTTATGTCCAAACGCCTACTAAAATCCCACTCGTCTCACTTTAGCTGGAAAAACAATCGTATATTCGTATTAGTTCTTTTGGTAAAGCAAGTCGTAAAAGAGAGTTCCAGAATAATGCTGCACTGTGGGCCGGTCCCGAACCGGACCGGACCGGGCCCGCGGTCTTAACGGGCCTGGTGGGCCGGTCCTGGTGATCTCTTTAAGCCCGTGGCGGGCTGGTCTTGTTTGTTAAGCCCACGAGCCCGGGACCGTTTAGCCCG